TAATTTACATTAATTTAATTGATATCTTATACTAATTTCTTATAAGTTATATTTGTTTCCTTTTCAAAATTCTGATTAATGTTGCTTAACAAGTATGTTAAAACAAGTCAAGATTCATGAAGATAATAAGAAATTCAGTGGAGTTTGATGTTTGTTGAAGAATTAACTTTTCTTTTTCAAGCAAAGAATTTATGATACTAAGCCTTTACATATATATATATTTTTCTTAAATCTTTTAATAAGAAACATATGATGTATCATAGACGAAAAAAAACCTAGGGGTTGGGAGTTGAGAGAACCCCACACAAAAGAGAGCTACATAATCAAAGCGTTTCAAACATTAATAATAATGTACAAAAATCACCGCACAGTTTCATAGAATTTTAGCTTTGCCTTTAAACAATTTTCCTCCTAGACTTACACAGGCTAGAGATCCACCTTATCTGGTAGACATATTGCTGTACCGAAGTCATAAGGTAGCATCAAACCCTTTGAACATAAGGGCAATGGAGAAGAATATGATCGAGTGCCCCAGCCTCTTAAAACAAAAGCGGCAGAGACAGAAGGAGATAACCCAACTTGGGAACTCCCCTTGTAACTTTTCAGCAGCATTAAGACTTCTACATTGAAGGGACCAAGTGGAGAATTTCACTTTCTTTGGGACTTTTAACTTCCATCTATAATTCACCAGGGGGTTTTCATCTAGGCTTTCAGCTTGCTATGGTTTTTAAAGGCTAACTGGTGTAGAATATTTTATTAAATGCTAGAAGCAACTCACTGGAGTTGTTAACAATGCATTTCAAACACATTGGAAATAGGTGAAAATAGTCTAGATATTTGAATTCTCAAGTTCATTGATGAGTTTATAAGATTAAAACACATGGAATAGGAATTTTAAAAAGGCCCACTTTTTACCTTTTGCTTGCATTACGGAAGCATAGCCAATTAGTCCTGATTTATTATTGTAGTGGCCATTTTCAATTTTGCAATAAACTGAATTGATTATCGATCTAACATGGGCAAAAATAGTATCATTATTATTGTAGTAGCCATTTCTAACTGCTTTTCTTATTTCATCCAAATGAACATAACACTCTCCTTCGCAGATGCGTGAAGCAGAAATTACATCATTATGCCAGAGGAGAAAAGTTGAAGAGCTTGAAGCAAAACTTCATGAGGCGGAGGATGTGATAACAGATCTTAGAATACAGTTGAAAGAGGCACAATTCCAGTTGGAGAAGGAGAAAAAAGACAAAATGCAGCCTTTGGAAGGGATGATTATGAATAAAATTACTCTCTCTAGTCAGTCTATCCTTGAGCCAGATTCTTCCTGTCCTTCCTCATCAGAACTGCAAACAGTGTCTTCTAATTTGAGGAACACGAAGATGGAAAAGATAGCCCATGCAATACATGATAGTGTGCCAAAGTCTGTCGAACATTCATCTGTTTCTCAAGTGGACATTGTCCATGCTCACGATTCTGACTCTTCCTCCATGGTAGTGAGAACCAAGGAGCGCAGATCATATGGGAAGAGATGCACCCAGAGAATTCGTGCATTAGAAAAGAATTACCTGGATTATAGCTTACCTCTAGGTATTGATGTAAAAGATAACCAAGTCCTTGAGGAAAAGGAACCTTTAGTAAAAAAGAAGGCTAAGGAGGAAGGAGGCCTCTCTACCAGAATTGGAAAGACAGATATAGGGAAGAGGGTGCATGGTGCTGTGTTAAAGAGATCTGTAAAGCTCCATACATTAAGAAGGACGTCTCAATTTGGAAAATGTAAAACAGGCTCTTGCAGGTTGCATGGTAGTCAACTAACAAAACCTCATCATCCATCATGCATCATTTCCCTTTGCAGGCCATATTTGAAAGATGATGTCGTGAGATCTGATAATAATGGATATTCTTCACCATCTCTGATGGCTGATAGTGGGAATGTGGGAAAAAAATCTTGTTTGCCGGAGGAACATAAAACTGACAGTTACAGCGGTGCAAGTGGAAATTCTAATGGGAGGCAACCACAAGAGAACATGAAACGTGGGAATTTAAATGGTCACTCGCCTGACCAGCCAATCATTCCTCGTGATAAGTGTTTTTTCCTGTCTCCATGTACGACTTCCACTAATCTAGTTAATGATAACAGAAAATCTGGTGATGATCATTCCAAAACTAAGCATCAGAGCAAGATGAAGAAATTAACCTGCTTGGATCCAGGACTCACATCAACCAGAAGTTATGTCGACTCTACATCAGTGCCTGCTAGTGTTACTGCCAGTGTTAAGGTCAATAGTTCCGAAGTTCTCGAGAATGCAGCAAACAGTAAGAAAAAACTGATGGCATTGTCAGTGAAACAGGAAAGTGATGAAATAAGGAATTTGATTTGTCCAAGTTTCGAGTTGAAATCTGAAATAAATCCTAATACGAAATGCGGGCGAATATGTGTAGATACGAACTGCTCTCCTTGCGAAGTAGACAAGAAACACCTCATTTGTACTAGACAAAGGAAACGCAAGAGGGAAGCCATGGGCATTTCAGATGAAAATATTTCTCCTGAAAAGAGAAATGGAAAAAGGAGCTTGGGTGAAAAACTAAAATTTGAGCCTCAGTTTGAGAGGACTGACTTGAACAGAGAATCGACGAGGGAGAGTCGACAGCTATCTGAAGTTGCTCGTCAGGTTGGTTACACATTCCCTTTTGCAATTTTGAACGTGTGATAAACTGGCATAAGATGTTGAGATTTTATTTAGAATGGGGAACAAAACTCATAGTAGCCTGCAATATTTTGGATGTTTTACATGGTAAAAACTCATTTTAATGTTCTCTTAGGAACAGATGGCCGACTCCTTCATTGAGTTCAATATTTTCTTCTGGCATTAGCCCAAGTCAGCTTTTTGGTTACGAATGTAATCATTCTGTTGTTCACCTATGAATTTCAACCAGGAAAAGGAAAAACTCACTTTAATTTCGAACTGTTTTTAGGAGGCAGTTGGTTCATGGGGTTGGGAACGCTTGAGTGTCTATAATTTATTTTAGATTATGCAAGGAATGAGGCTTAGAAGTTTATTTGTTTAGCTTGTGGGTTTGAATTTATGGAAGCTAGTGTATAATTCAACACAGTTAGTGGACCAACCAACTAAGTAGGAGATTGGAATAAAAAAAATCTACTGACCAAATATAAATTTGTGGACAAAAGGCAATCCAACGGATACCACACCTTACCCTAAACACTCTTTGAGAGTTTAGTTTAGTTTTTAACATTCAACTAGAAAAGGTTTGAAACAACTTGTACCAGAGAATACTTTTTCTACTATTATTTAGTAAGACTCTAGTGCTGGTTTTGTTACTTGCAATTTCCACATACTTGATGAGCTTCTGTCCATATACTCATCATTTGGTTGGTTAAAATCCTAAGTGCTTGGTCACAATTTTCTGAACTTCCTACTTTTTTTTTTTCCCGCAGCTCATATCTTTGTCTAGAGAAAGATGGTAGTAATAATGGTGTTTTCTTTTCGGCCCTCAACACAATCAGAACCTGGATATGATTGGCCATCCAACACGTCGGTTCTCCTCACAGTTCTTCAGAATTTATTTTTTCAAGGAATCCACAGGTTGGTGTTTAGCTTTACATAGTTTGTAGCTTGCTTTCTAATATTTAGTTTAATTTATTGAAAAAGAAAAAATCAATAACAAAAAGCATCAGGAATATCTTCAGCTTCAATGTGATGATGGTGTGAAATGATACAAGTAGGGTCATTTTGTGATGATCTATGTAACTCAACATGTTTTGAAGCAAGCATGCCTTGGAATTTTTATTTCTACTTTTTTGAATTTTTGTTCTGTCATCATCTACTATGCATTGACATTACACTGCTTTTTTCACTGATGAAAGGTGAGACCTTTTAGTACCAAAATGTAAGAAGTGAGATCTTTTGCAGGTGTTTTTCACTTTCCCAGACACATCGGATTCTTTGTATAGCTTTTTCCACTCTGTTATTTTCTTACAAGATTTGGTTGAGAACGAGATTTCTGATATGATGTGAACTTTACAAGTTCTATTTTATCTCTAAAATGAAATTTGAAGAAAATTAGAAATATTACACAAAATATTGACAGTGAAATTAGTTGAGGTGCACACAAGATAAGCTCACACACTCATCCATATCAAAAATCTTATAATAATGATGTATGCCTTATTGAATTTTTATTGGTCGGAGTATTTGTTGACATTAATGTTTTATTGATGTTTTTTCTTCCAAGGTGAGGAGCCAAAGGAGGAAAACTGATGCTAACACCAAGGAAGACTTGTTTGGTAATGAACAGATACATATCCAAGTCATATTTAATATTCATTATTTTTATTTATAAATTATAAGGGACCAAATATATAGTTAAATTAAGTATTTGTTAGAACACCTTTCAACCTGTTGCGAGAAACGCTCTTTATGTTCTTCCGTTTCATTTTTTGGTTAAATAGTTTCATTTATTCTATCATTCCTTGGTAATTTCAATGGCCACACACACACACACACATTTTTTAAAATAAATCAAATATATATTTTTTGGACACAATTCTTTATATAAAAAAGGCAACTAGAAGTAGCTCTCTCCTATTCCCAACGAAGATAAGAACACATGAATTAGGCATCCGAGAAAGACAAGGAATGAGCACGCCAGGACCCAACATGAGCACATCCATTACTTTGATCCTAATTCCTAATCCTATGTTGGAGCAATCATAAACTAAACCCAATAGAAAATATGAAAAGAAAAAAGAAAAGGGAGTGATAGTTGCAGGCTTTAGCATATCTATGTCTTCTTGTCTTCCCCAGCAGCTGCACCTTTTCCCTTTGATATCATTAAAGCCTGCTGCTTCCAACGTTGGCCCACACCCACCCCACACAACCCAACAAATTCAAACCAATTCCTTTCCCACCATATAAACAAACACAGCAGGATTTGATAGTTCAAATTTTTTAGTAGAAATCATCAAACATGTGTAGGGCGGAGGAAGGTTGCAGGGAATCGAAGCAAGGAGAGGTTGAAGATAAAGATTGTATAAGCAGAGGTGTGTTATCAGCTGGAACGGCATTGTTAATGGCAGCTTGTTTGAAGAGAGCTGTGGTTCTGTTCTTCTTGGTTGAGCAATGGCGGATCTGGGTGTTCCTTGTGTTGAATCTCATCCTTGTAACAATCTTCTTCACTTCCAGTCCTGCAAGTTACAGTGAAAACCAAATCCAAGAGCCGACGAAGAAGAAGAAGATCAGAAACAGCGAGCCTGAAAAAGTGGAAGAAGTTGAGATCAAACAGCAGGAGATTGGTAAAGAAGAGGAAATTGAAGAAGATGAAGAAGAAGAGGAAATTGGGTTGTCGAAAGAGGAGTTGAATGAGAGAGTTGAATTGAATGAGAGAGTTGAAGCTTTCATTGTGATGTTCAAGAAGCAATTGATTTCAGATGCGAGAAAAGTGGGAAATAGACGGACCACTGCCTAAGCTAAAAGATGCTGATACCTTAACCTTTGATCAAACTGTTAGCCATTGTGCAACAATGAAGGAGGACATTGAAAGACTACCGAAGCCAAATGAAAATGAATCCTTTTCTTTTCCCTTCAGTCTAAGCTTTTGGGATTGGAATGGAGGACGAAAATGAAAATGAAATGAGGATGTTCTTTAGTTATTTGGTGAGTTTCAAGAGGTTAAAAAAAAAATGTAATCTTGAAGCATAATTTTGAAGTAATAAGCAAACAAGATTTTTTTTTTGGCACTCATCCAAGTTTTTGGTTCTTATGGATCAGTCTTGATAGGAGCAATATTTTTCTTTATAATTATAGGTAAAAAGCCGATTCAAAATTCAAAGTTCAAAGGTGGAAGTTCTTTTTGTAAAAGAATAGTTGAAAATATAGCAAACTCAACCAACATAATAGCAAATTAGCAAACTTTAGAACTATTTGCAAATCCAACAAAATTTAAGCCGAGTCTATATGAAAAGACTTTAACTCCTATCACTCGTTGATAAACTACAAATGGGAGTAAAGTCTATAAGTGATAGAGGTGAAAAAATTCATAGGGAGTTACGTCGTTACATCTTCTATTAATTACCGTCATCTAAGCAGAGATTGGCTCATAACCGTGAAAAATTTGAATTTTTGATTTTGATCATATTGTTAATATCATTAACTAAACTAATATTAATGATAGATGAGGTTAAAAGAATCTAATGTATTGCCCCAAAAACAGAACGAACAAAGGTTATAAAAAGTTAAATTTTATCCTCAAAGAATTCCTAAAGATATGTTTGTTCCTCCCTATCTCTAATATATTTTTTAGTTAATTAATTTTTATTTATTTATAGCAATTTTCAGGGGATAATGATAATGACTATAAGTCAAAACCACAGGATTGGAGGGGGGGCTTTTACGTAGTATCAGCAATTAATAGGGGGGCGAATGCCACGCTGGCAATCGTTTTTCTGTTGGTTTCTCTAATGTCTTTTTCCGCCCTTTCGTATACAATAATTTCCCCGTCTTCTTCTTCCAACAGAAAGTCCAAACCCTAGAGAGAGAGAAAAACCGTTCAGGGACTCTAATACCTCTCTTCACACATTAAAATTGATGAGAAAGATGCAGAATTAGAATCGAAGTTTTTGGATTCTGTTCACGGAGATTCACGAATGTGTGCGCTATAATGCGGGACTTGATTTGGAGTCCCTGATTTTTGTGAAATCCGTCAAGCCAACCGACTTTGTGGGATTTGATTTTTGCCAAATGATTCTGTGATCTCATATTGAAATTTATTTTCGATCGGATTCGAATTTGAGAATCTGAATTCCATTCTACGAGAATCGAAGCGGTGGGGGTTTCATTTGAATCCGTGAATGGTTTCGAATCCAGATCTTGTGTTCTATGCCTGCATTGCAAGAGGAACTGTAATCCTTGCTGAATTCAATCGAGAGCCGAATCTCAATGATTTGGCTTTCAGATGCATCGAGAAAGCTCCTCCTCATCACTCAACCTTCTCTCATACCGTCAGAAACAGAGTGTACACCTTTTTGATCGAAGGTCCCTTCGTTTATTTTGGAATCTTCCATGAGGACCTTTTCAAATCGGAGGTTTGTGGTTTCTTAAGCCGCTTAAGGCGAGCTTTCGAGGAGTTCATCGAAAGCGAATTACGCAAGGGTTTCGAGAATTTCACTTCTAATTGCTTTCAATCGCAGTTCGATTCGATTTTCCGGCGTATCCTAACGTCGAATCAGGACCAGACGTCGTCGGGCTTGGATTCAGATAAAAGAAAGAAGACATCGCTTATTTCGAAGTTCTCGAAACCCTGTAGCCTAATGAAGAAGAAGAAGAAAGTGGTTGGAGATGCTAATAGCGAAGAGGGAAAATACGCATCAACTGTGGATGATTCTGTGGATCTGTACGACGATAACAATGGTTTATGCAGTAGAGATGTCACATTGCTGATGCAAAAGAATGGTTCATATGAGCGTCAGAAGGCAAAGCAAATATGGCGGAAGCATGTTTGGGTTGTTCTGTCCATCGACTTGTTTGTATGTCTGGTTTTGTTCGCCATATGGCTTTGGGTTTGCAGTGGATTTCAGTGCATTGAGAGCTGAAATCCTGCTGAGTTTTTATGGGTTCAATCCTTGATTGGCAGAAATGGGCATTGGAATGATAATCACTGATGGTTAAAACGGAGACGATTGCTTCACGAAGAGCGGTGGTGATGATTCACGTAAGCTTCAAGTTATTTTTTACTTTGCTGGTAAATATTTATGGGTTTCTTGATTTCTTTTCCTACACATCATGTACGATTCTCAAAATTGACAAAAACAAATCAATGGAGTTCAGTTTATACGAATGGAAATAAAGATAGTCTCTGTTTTGGTCATTTCTCAAACCTTCAATCTGAACATGAAATTGGAATTCTGTCAACGAAGATATCATCTCAACATCTCCCATTCGTGTTGGAGATGGGAGTTCATTAAGAATTCACCTATCCACATGTCACTATCACATTATCTTCAAGGGTAGGATGTCATTGTCACATTGTCTTCAAGGGCATTTTAGGAATGAGACATGATTGGATGTTGACTTTGCAATCAATAGAAAATTTATCTGGTTTGTTGAATGATAACGAACAAAAGATAGGTAGCATCGTACAGAAATTATCATCCATCCTACGGTAAGAAACAGTCAAACTACACCCCACTCTACTTTGAACCTCACACGAACAAGGATTCCGTTACATGGTATAATAATCGGATCTTGAATTCATAGAACTTTGGAATCTCTGGTTACAGTTCCTCCTACCCACAGGGCGTAAGCTTCTTATTGCCTGCACCTCGAGGATTGTCGTCTTTCCAGTCATCCCATGCTCTGGACTTCTCCTGGGCAGCATCATCGTCTTCGTCATCGGCATCTTCACTTGGCCCTGGTTTTCGAGTGTCGTCCTTATACCATGCGGAGTTTGCTTCTTCTATGAACTTAGCAGTCCTCTCTTGCCATTTATTCATCATTTCCATCTCCCTCAGCCCTGCGTCCTCGATGCTCATGGTTGGCATCCTTCCACACAAAATTTCAACCCATAAATTAAGTTACCCATGTGTATCATACAACTGCGAATCACAACTTCCTTTTCAATGTTTTTCAACTTTCTGGAGGAAAGATATGAATCCTTAGACAAAATTTCAAAAACAAAACTTCGTAAAAACTACATACCTAAAGCCAGGTTGGAAAACCTGGGCAGCCAACCTCTCCCTCTCACTCGTAAGGGGTCCACTTACAAGACTTGCTGGTCCAAATATGAGAGGCTGATGTTTGTGATCATGTGTTTCAGACACATTAGCTCTCCCTTCTAAAACATCCCGAGCAAACGTTGCACAAGTGATTGGTGGCGCTGGTTTTGAATATCTTGCTCTCACGACCCCGTCACGATGCCAATCTTCTGCTCTTTTCATACGATCATCAAGAATCTCTCTAGATAAGTTCTTGTCCCCATCCTGACATATATAGCAAAGAACAATTGCTCTTAGAATTCTAACAAGAAAACATAAAAGAGAATTCATCTATTTGACATATCATGGCTCCGATTAATGATAGAGCGAATGACGTAAACAGCGCACGAAATGCTTTAAGCATGCTCGCACAAAGTCTGGAATGTAGCTTCCTACCTTTTCTTGTATTTCCTTAATGGAAGAGAGCATCTCTTCCTCCTTCTTCAGCATCTCTTGTAGATCAAAAGCCTGAATATATAGCATTCCAGGAAAATTTGAGTACAATCCTAGAGAGCAACAACCTGGAGATGTTAAATAATTCTGCATAACTGACCTTGCAGATAGCCAAAGTGATGGTCGTAAGCCAAGCCTACAGCAAAGAAAGAGCACAATGTAATTAACAATGACTAAGAAAAAACATAAAAAAGCCTATAGAAAGATTCAAAAGAGAAACGGCAAACGTTCGAAATATTTCACACCCTAGAACAGGCAATGTGACAGAAAATAGAGAGAAATGGAATATTACTGCTATATGATTTAAAAAAAACTAACCTCACGCTCTTCCTCTCCATCATCTTCCAGCACATCCTCCTCTCCAGCCTCTATAGGAGCAGACAAAGCAGATGCTTTGCTTGAACGCCCACGGCGCTCTTTTCGCTCCTTTATCTCAAGTAACTTTGACTCAGCAGCCTTTTGATGTTTGAACCTCACAATCTAGAAACATATATTAAGAAATAAGTTCAAGAATGGAACTGCAGTTCCATCCACAATATTAAGAAACATCTCATATTATGCAAGAATTGATGATTTAAAATCTGTGTCATGACATCAAAACCAGTCACCCCATCATAATTAATAATTGCTATCCTATCTCCGGCAGAAAAAAAAAATCTCAAAATGTGATGCGGGTATACTTACTTTCCGAGCCCTTCGATCTGCAAGGGAATTTCCTTCAGTAGATGTTTCAAGTTCCTCTTTTGGCACCAGTTCCATAGTTTCACAAAATGCTATGAACTCCTAAATAGATGTCAATTATTCGTATTTTAAAAAGTTAATGATGAAGCCTTAAAATTAGAAGATCAAATTTTATTATTCATCCACACATATTTCCTTTTACCATGAAATATGAGCTTCGGAAATTACTCACATGTAAAATAGTAGACAGCACTAACCTTTAATTTTGCCTGGGAAGCCTTAAGGATCTCTATCCTGTCATCTTGTGCAATCTTCTCAGTCAACTCAGCAAGATAAAATGGCACCTACAGGAAACAACTATCAGAACTAAAATATATGGATTTTCTGGTGACTGTAGAAAAGGCCGTTAAAACTATCCATTTCAAAGAAATATCAATCATAAATAACATATTTCGAACCCTATGCGTTAATGAAGTTATAAACGATGGTGAAAATAGATTTGCAAAGAGTTGTCTAGCTTTCTTTCTTACTCCTTACTTCTTTCTTCATATTTATTTATTTATTTTTATAAGACAAAACGTACCCGACAAATAAACTGGTGAAAATCTAGACTACTCGTCTATTAATTGTTCTATCATTAGGAATTTAATGGGTACTTGCTCTCTAAATTTTGGCTTCCACGGTTACCACTAGCACGTGGATCACTTTCAATGCAAGGTAGTTAAGGTACATAAGCACGAGTAAATGTGGTCACTCCATTTTATGAATTCCTTTGGAAACTTGAGAGGATAGAAGCAAAAGGATAAAAGAGAGTAGCATGAGAGATATCGGGAAGGTT